CGCGCACCGGTTTTGCGTCCGCAAATTCTTTCCAGCCCATGTACGCCGTCTGGCCTGCACGCAGCGTCTCAGCGGACATTCACCTGATGGTAATAACGCATACGACTTGCGGACACACGGCCGACCCAGGATCCTGCCTTTTTGGGATGATCATGTGAAGGGCGGCCATCGAACGGCTCAAACGGCAAACACTTTCGGCTTGTCATTGTTCTCAAGTCTTTTTCGCAATAGAAGTGAGTTCCTGTAAGCTAGTATATATGCACTCTCTAGCAGCAACAAGTCGGGGTAAGATTTCTGCTGTCGAATCCGTAAATTATATACCAAGGGCTATATTTCAGAGTGCACCACGAAAACAGTATGCTATCAAAGCCGCTACCAACGGCACTTCGGTGGCATCGTCCCTCTGTCAGCGAGCAGCTTCTTAGAGTCTCAGGGACCACATAAACCATGATAACGCCGTTGGGTGATATGCTACGCCACATTGTGGGTGGCAGGTCACAGCCGGGTGGCAAAAGACAGTGGCATCAAGAGAGTCGTGTTCACAGTGGCAGGAAGTGACGGCTGGTCGAAGTCGGTCAAAAGATAGATGGGAGCATAGACTCCTGGAGGACAGTTTGAACGACGAAACGATGGTCAGGAGGAAGAGATGGTGGTAGTAGAGGTGCAAGAAGGTTTGCTCGGACATTGTTCGTTGTGCCGTTGATGGCCGCAGTGCACGTGGTCTTCCCAAAAAGGCAGGATCCTGGGTCGGCCCAAATTCCACGACTTGCCTGGCATTCCTGCAGCGCCGACGTACGCCGTCCACGGCAGGTCTGGGTGCTTCTCCATGATCTGCAGTCCGCGCAGATCCGGGACGACGGTGTATTCCTGGTGCGCTACAGAATTTGCCCCCAGTCATCAGCGATCGCACACGCGGTGGGGGAAAATACGGACGTATGGTGTAGCCGTAGATATACTTTCCCACATCGACACCGGGGGGTATCAGAGCGCAGCACCACGGCGATGCCGAATCCAGCCAAGCTGCGGGGCGACCAATGTGAGGCGGGAGGACCATGACGAGCGACTTCGACGTACGGTGCACCAACCTGGAATGCCGCCTAGGCAACGGAAATTAATTATTCAGAACAGGCAGAAGACCGCGACGCTGGGCGTACGGAATTCGGTTCCTTCTCCGCGTGCTGCATCAGTACACGGAAGTACGGGTCGACCGAAAGCACCAGCGTTTTGATCAGGAAGCCCCCGTTGAGGGGCACTGTCTCGGGATCGATCGTCTGTGTTGTGTCGTAGACCGTCGTCTCCCCGGGAATGGGATAACCTGGACTCGGATAGAACATCCCGGAATTAGGATTATAATTTGGCGGGTGCGGCAGGAGTCCACACGCACCTTCAGGGACGGAATTGAACAGAACGCGGCCATTTTGGATGGCTGGCATCTCGATATCGATTTGTGGGGACCAGGAGGTTACTCGACAGCTACTTATAGACATCTGGGGCTTATTCATTTCCGGACATTCGGAATATAGCGCAGTAGGTGTAGAGCGTGATACCCCTCCCGATTTTCTCGGTTTACCCATTCTTCAATGATTTACCCCCTGGAATTCGTTAGTCAACGGGCCCGGTGACTTATTTCTGCTGATTCAATTTTGAGAGGATGTCGAGGACGTAGGGTTGCGTCCATTGAAATTTCTACTGTTTTGTGACCCTCCCTATTTTTCAGTCTCTGCAGCCAATTTCCGTGTCATTTCGGCTGAATCAGCGGACCCGTTGACCGATTTGTGTGTACGTAATACGTATGCGTGTTGAAAAAGTGGAACAATGAGCAAGACGTAAGTCCGGCAAGGCTGCTGGCATTTCCAGTTAGTCGGGATATAGCGTGTTCGTAAATAAGCAGGCGGTCTTGAAAATACTTACTTCTTGGGTTTTTAGCTTCAGTTTTTGTCGGACGTCGGAGAGGAGCAGGTTTGGTGTGTATGTTGCGGTTTCTCCAGGGGATTGTGAGTGCAATTGGAATGGGGTGTTTGGGGGCAGGTTGGAAGCTCACCGTAATATCTACGATGAGAAACACTACCACAGAATCAGCCAGGCAAAAATAAGACCGTTGCGTATAAGTATTTGAGAGCGCCAGATAGTGGTACTTAAGGTTTATAGACAAGGGGACAACCCATGGCCAAGAGGGCGAGTGGCATGGATCAGCGACGACGCGGCTCGGAAAACAATAAAAGCCGTTCATGTGGAGGGTAAGTGAAGTCCCATTGTGACGGGCAATTATCTGGGTAGGATGCAGCCTTGACTATACCTTGACATTCCGGAGCCGTATTGTACAATACATGATATGAATAAAATCATTTATTGATTTTTACTGTCGCATTGGAAGGCTTTTTGAGTCCTTTTAGCTCTGGTTCACACCGCTGCCTCCTGGTTGAAGGGCCAAGAAATGCCGAGGATCGCAACCACTGGACTCTCCTACCATCCAACAGGTGTGCAAGGATGGTTATTTGTACAGTATGTCGCGGAGCCCAGCAGGTGATCTTCATTTGGGAGGGGGTGTATTGGCCGAGCCGGTGATAGATACCGTACATAATTTGGGCGTAAACGGCGGGGCAACGGGTTAGATACAACCTTTCTCGATTTTTGTGCGACTCAGCTTAATTATCTACCACATATTAGACAGACGATTCAGTGGCAGACCATGCCTCGGCATTAAATGTCGATACGGCGGGTTAGATACACCCTTTCTCATTTCTCTGGGTGTCAGCTTATTGTCATTTTTTTTCAGACTCAGCCAATGGTTCAGCGGTCGACACCACAAATGCCTTGGGGGGTTAGACACACCCTTTTCTCTGTTCATCAGCTCAACTTTTTTTTATGGACTCCACGAATTACTCAGCGGTAGATGATTCGGAGGTGGATGTCATTTCTGCGGGTTAGACCCAACTTTTGTCTATTTCTTTGTGACGACCTACGGAAGAATGTATCATATCCTGGCCGTGTTGGAGGCTCGCATGAATCGTGCCCGAGAGTTGACGCAAGCGCAGGCTATTCGTTCCATCCGGATATGCGCCCCATTTCTTTGCGCCGTTGCGTGTCTCGTGTCTCGTGCTCACCAGCGGGGCGTGCATCGTTCTCGGATGACAGTGATACTCCCTCGGATGCACGGTTGGTCTGCGTACCACAGTTGCGCGGTCGACGGATACTCCGTGCCCTTGGTCGCAGCTCTGAAGTTCGAAGGTACGTCAGGTGCGACTCGATTACGGACATCGACTCTCTCCCGCAACGCGGAATCACCCTCAACGAGACCGCCAGAAAATTTTGAATCGTAGCGGTTGCTCGGTACTGAGTGGATAATATTCAGGTGTAGGCTGACAGTACTTGGCGCTGCAAAGTGTGTAGAGCATCCAATCGATGTCGATGACTCGTGCTCCATTTACAATTTCGAGTCTCCCAAGTTCACTGTCAACCAAGTAGTAGATATCAACACAAAATGACTAGCGAGGGAGGGCACTCGCTACATGTCCCACAGGAGCCGCAGCGCCGCACCGTTCGCGGTGTCGCGGTCGACGTTGTACGCCCACGGCTCTGCGCGCCCGTACCGATCGTGCACAGAGACCAGCTGGCCCTCCACGGGGCTCACCAGGCGCCCCGGATAGCGCGTCGCGGGCGCGACGGGCTCGGTGATCTTGACGATGCGCAGCAGCAGCATGCGCTGCCCCGCGTGCTCGCGCAGAGTGGAGCGCTCAAAGCGCGCGAGCCCGGCGCCTATGGCCGCGCGGCGTCAGCTCGGCGTCAGGCGCGGGGCGCGGGCGGGCGTACGCACCGCTGAACGGGTGCGCCTTGACGCTGTTGACCTGCGACTTGAACACCGTGTCGAGGCGCAGCGTGCGGAGCTCGTGCGGGCCGACGACGACGAGCCACGGCGCGCGCGCGAAGTGCACGGGGAACGCCTGCGCGCGCGCGAACAGCGTGAGGTGCGCGTCGAACGAGCGGCGCGCGCCGAACACCCCGCGGCACCGCGCGAGCTGCGCGGGCGTCGCGAGCCGCTCGTGCAGCAGCTGCGCGCGGAGCTTGCTGTACGCGGCGTTGGGCGAGGCGATCTGCGCGAGCATCACCTGCCACGGGCACCCGCTCGGCACGCGGAGGTCGGAGCCGTGCGGGAACGACGCGGGCGTGGGGTCGGGCGTGACGCGGAAGCGGATGGTTCCGGCCAGCGGGGATTCGCGGTCCGCATGGTAGTACAGGAAGCCGCGGGTACCGTTCGGAAATGGCAGATGCGGGCTTTGGTACCAGAGGGACGCGCCAATCCCGCCTGGCGAGTGCACGAAGGTAACGGCGCATCTTGTCCTGCCGCTCATGTCGAGAAAATCGTCGGGCCTAAGACGCAACGGATCCAGTGTAGAGATGATGTTCCGTGGAGGACCACGAAAGCGGGGAGTCCTGTGCCAGCTCGTCAGCGGCCGTTAGAGCATTTGATAAGGACGCACGGATTGGTGGCGTAAAGTCTGCGTCCGGATGCCCCTTTTTGTGCAATGCACACATTTTCACCGTTGTGCGACTGTACGATTGTCCATCGCAAGCGCGTGAGCATGAGAAACACGGGACTCGGACAAGAGGCGTACTGTTTGCCCCACGTTGGGATTGCTTGCCGCAGCTTGCACAAGCTTTGCGCCACATGTCCAATGCACACATGGGTCTGGAATATGCGGGAATTCTTTTTCTCTCTTTTTTCCATGTCCCTCGATCCCTCCAGTATCACCCGGAAATTGTTCTCGTAGTACTTTTTAATCTATCTGCAAAAGAACTAAGGGATCCGTGAAAAAAAAAAAGGAATTGAGATGCGCCTGTGCAAGACATGTAACATACCGCTGGCATTCATGCAGATATGTTTTGAAAAATTGTGGGATGAAATAGGTGGCGTATACGGGGATGAAAGCTGAAAGACGTGGTGGACCCAGCAGTCAAAAAGGAAAAGAACATAAGACAAAAAGAATCCATGTCACTCATATTGCATTAAGGGGGAATTGAACCCCCGGCGGGTCGAGGCTCGATGACGAGCATCAGTGGCAACGACCCAGGTTACCACTACCCCATTAATGCGACATTGATGAATCCACTACTTCCGCTATAGGTTGGGCTCAGCAGATATGAGAAGCGGCTTACAGCGCACCTATTACGCACAGCTGACGAAGCGGGACGAGTCTGAAACAGGAGGCGTTCAGGGACATGTAAGGATGTCGAGGAGCTACAAGCAGGGAAAGATCGGTTTGGAATCATGAGATGGACGGAGCTGCCATTACTGGGCACGGAGGCAGATGAAGCGGGGATAGCATCGTGCTGCCCTTGGCGGGGATAGTCTATTGGATTTGGGTGCGATCAATGGATAGAAGTGCGTCGGGATTTGCAGCGAGACGCGCCGGCCGCGCGCTGGCGCCAGCTTGAACGCTTGCGCTGAGGACGTTGGGAGGCTGCAGCACGTGTGGTCGGCCGAAAGATATCGCCGTGCCGAGGGGAGGTGCTGTGCGGTGTTTGGGTGTGCTTGTGGGTGTGCCCTTCGTCCTCAGTCATTGTGTCCGTCGCGCAGGCAACTCCGTCTGAGTCCCGAAAAAGCAGCGTCCCGCTCCGCTTCGCTGTCTGTCCCCCGCCAGAAGCATCAGCCACTAGCCCTCGACCCAATCCAACTCACCCGCCCAATCCAGCCACCCCCACCCCAGCCACGCGGCCCACACGTAACATGCCGCCCCCGCCCCGGACAAAGGGCGTCGCACTACCCAATCCACCCCCGCCCCCCGACGCCGCGTCCCCACGCCGCAGCGCCCGCTTCGCCCCGCCCGCGCCCGTGGCCTCGACGTCCCGCGCGCCGCCCCTCGTCACGCGCCGCCGCTCGCTCGTGCCCCCCGCAGACACGGACCCCACCACCCCGCGTGCGCTGCGCCGCCGCTCCGCGCCCGAGCTCGCAGTCGTCACCCCGGTGCCACCCAAGACGCGGGCGAAGCGCAAGTCGCCCGACCCGCAACACGAGGACGATGTAGGCGCCGTGCGCAAACGCCTGCGCGTGCGCTGTCCGGCCGAGGTGCGTTTACTCTCCTGTCCTGCTGCCACCCATCCCATGTCGTCTCTACCCCACTTTCCCGCCTTCTCTCTGCGTCGTCTTTCTCTCCCCCTCTTGACGCCCGTGCTGACTCAGCCACAGGCGCCCGCGCTCCCCTCGCGCAAAGGCAAGGCCAGGGCCGTCCCACCCGCCACCATTGCCACCACCACTCCCACCCGTACTCCGCAAGAAATGGCGCCCACCGCCCGCACGACCCGCGCGCGCGAAAAGGCCCTCCGCGAAGCGCGCAACCCGATCCTCCTCGCGGCCGGCGCGCGCGCGAGCCACGGCGCTGGGCGCCTCGACGAGATCGACATGGGCGTCGTCGCGCCTGCGGCGGTGTCGCCAGCCGTGCCGGCGGCGGCTGGCGTGGGGTCGTCTAGCACCGGTGCGTCGGGTAGCGCCCGGCCGATCAGAGTCGAGGGCGAGGACGCAGACGCCCGCTCACCCGTCCACACTAGCGCCGACGTCGACATGCCGCTTTCCCCGTCCTCGTCTTCGCCTTCCACATCGCCCGTACTCCCCACCTCGCCTCCCCCAAATTTCCTGACTGCACTCAAAACGCCACCGTCCCCAAAATCGCACAACGCAAGCCCAAAACCAGCACAAGGAGACGGCAAAGCGCGCGTGCTCGCACTGGCGCCGGACGACCTCGCGCCGTCGCCGTTCGTCGCGCTCTCTTTGCCCGCTGCCCCTACACTTCCTGCTTCCCCCACACCGACTTCACCACCACCGGCTGCCGCTGCACCGACGACATCCACACCAACTACGCCTGCCGCCGGAACAACAGGCGACGCAGCACTTCAACTCGACCTACACGCACTAGCGCTCGCCGAGGTAGAAGGCGGCGCTATCCAGCCCGGCCCGCCCGTATCGCCCGACTGGCCTTTGCCGCACGCGCCCTTCCCCTTGTCTTCCTCGCCTGCCGCCACCTCTGCGTCTCCGGCGCCCCGCTCGCCCCCAGCCTCCCCCAACCCCAATTCCGCGTACGCGTACACCGCGGGGACGGCGATACACGGGCACATCGGCACGGACGCGGAGCGGCACACGCGCGCGGTGGAGTGGGGCGCGCTGCTCGAGCGCCGGCGAAGGGCGGGCGAGCGCGCGATGGCGGATGCGTGTGGGGGGTGTGTGTATGGTGCGTATGGAGGCACGGCGGCGGCGTCGCCGGCGGCGTGCGCGTACGGAGGCGGGGCGTCGCCGGCGTGCGCGTACGCAGGCGGGTCGTATTCGGGGATGCAGGAGGGGTACGCGCAAGGCGAGGGTGCCGGGGATGCGAGGATGCGGTCCCCCGAGGCGGATGTGCGGATGCAGAGTCCCGAGGTGGAGGTGGATGTGCGGATGCAGTCGCCGGAGGCGGATGTGAGGATGGACGAGGCGGCCCCGTCCTCCCCGGCGTCCAGCGCCGACGTGCAGCTGTCGAACGGCTCCGCCTCTCCGTCGCCCTCCTCCGCCTCTACACTACCCTTCTCCTCCTCCGCCACCTCCGACGACAGTAGCAGCAGTACCGTCACCGGCGCCAGCGGCACCCTCGAAGAAGGCGGCACCGGCGCCAACGGAACAAGCGGCGGCGTGCTTTTCGCGCGCGTCGGGCGCCGGCGGAGCCCGCTCGGTTCGAGCGTCGTCGTCGCTTCTTCTATCCCTCCTTCCCCCTCTGCCCCGTCTGCCTCTGCCTCTCCCGAGGCCCCGCAATCCACCGAGCACGCTGACTTGCCAGCGCCCATAGTATATGAAGTCCCGCAAACGCAGTGGCAGCAGCCGGAGGACGACCTGGGCCCGAATCCGCACGAGCGGCTGGGGCCGACGTGGGGCGTGTGGAAGATCGCGTGTCGGGTGCGGGTGTGGGATGTGTGAGTTTTTTCTTTGTGGTTTTTCGTTCTTCTTGTATCGGGCTGGGTTTTTGGGATTCGCGATTCTTTGGTCTGCGGGTAGGAGCGGTGGGGGAGGGAGACGCGTGCAGCTGGAGTGGGGAGGCAGCCCTCTCTAGCGCCGCTGTCTTCGCGTTCTCTGACCTCCGAGTTTTACGCGGCGCGCGGTGCCTTTTCCACGTGTTCTGTGTGGTGCCCTCCCACACGGTCGACCTCCCTTGGTTTCTCTTTCTCTTCTCTTCTCTCTCATCACATCCATCAGCTCATTACTGACGTGTTATCTCCCCCCAGACGCACACGCTACACGCCCGCGCTCATCCGCTCGCTCGTCGCGCAGGAGGCGGACGACTACTTCTCCGCACGCAACCTGCCGCACCCGGACGCGCTGCTCTTCATGGACGAAGAGTACTACGACTGGGAGCTCGAGGAGAGCGGGTCCGAGGGCGACGCCGACGCGGACGGCGAGGAGCGCGAGGCGAGCGACCCCGAGGACGAGAACGCCGTCTCCCACACCGACGGCGCGTACGCGATGCGCATGGGCGCGCCGGGGAAGGACATGGGCGGCGTGCTCGGCGCGTTCTACGTGTCGCCGCAGCAGCAGCAGACGCAGCACGCGCCGCTGCCGCTCCCGCCGCCGCGCCTCGGCACGATCCGCGTGCCCGCGCTAAGGCACCTCTTCCAGGACGTCGCCGCGCGCCAGGGGAGGGGCACGCCCGTTGACGCGGTGCGGCGCGCGGCGTGGGGTGGGGCGGGCACCGGCGCGGGCGACGACGGTGTTGGCGGGGCGCGCAGCGGGACGCTTGAGAGAAGGCTGCCGCACCCCAGGCCGCGCCCGCACCCGATGTACCTCGCGATGCAGCAGCGCGCGGCGGCGGCGGCGGCGGAGGCGAGTGCGGTAGCAGGGCTGCCGGAGGGGGAGAGCCTGCCGCCGCTGCCGCGCCTGCGCGAGGAGGGCGAGCCGGAGATGCTGCCGATGCGCGGGCTGCACGACCTCGTGCGGTCGCTGCGGTGTGCGGACGGCGAGGAGGGCGAGGAGGCGGAGGGGGAGGAGGAGCGGAGGGAGCGGGAGCGGAGGGAGATGAGCGAGGCGTTCGAGCCGGACGAGGCGGTGTGGCAGGAGTTTCTGAAGAGCGTGGGCGTGGAGGGCGGCGCGGCGGGCGCCGGCGCGGGCGCGGCTGGGGAGGGGATGGACGTCGACGGCCAGGGGGAGGCGGACGGCGAGTCGGGGGCGGGGGACGGCCAGACCCAGACCAGCAACAATAACAGTAATAACGCTGGCAGCGGCGCGGGCGCATCGCAGGTGGGCCTCGGGATGGGCGTCGAGATGGGCATCGGGATGTTCGGGATGGCGATGGGTGCGATGGGCATGGGGTGGTTCGGGGGCCCCGCGAGCGCACCCGCGCCCATGCCCATGCCGTTGTCGCCCCTCCCGCTGGAGGCGGCGCCCGGGGAGCGCGAGCGCGAGAGCTCGCTCAGCTTTGCGCTGGGCGTTTGAGTGCATGGATGGATGGATGAATGGATGTCGGATCCCACCCCCCCCCCCCCCCCTTCTAGCAGCGATCGCGATCCGGCGCCTCCGAGAAGATGATTCGCGCGCGATTAATTCCCCCCTGGAGCGCTCGCGTGATCTTCGTGCCCCCACGCCCAACCGACCGTGTAACTCGGCTCGGGTGCGTGCTTGCTCGCTGCTCTAATCGGCGGCTTGTTACTGTTCCTTTCTTTCCTCTATCCTCGTCCTATCGCATCCCACCTCACTTACTCAGCTCCTTATTTACTCTCCCATCCTATCCTATTCTAAATCTACTTGCTCTCCATCGTACTCACACTGATCGTATATACACACTCACACATACACTCACCATGCTCTCGTATATATTGGCATTGGCATTGGCATACCTGCACCCGCATACATACCTATAGCTACGCTAGCTCCCACCTACCTCTACCTAAGGCTACCGCCTGTATATAGTGTACTCTGTACTGTCTGGAATTTATTTGGCGTGTTATAACTAAATATGGCAATTCTAAGCGGCCCGGCAAATGAGAGAATGGGGGAGAAATTCTTTGTCTTGTGCCGTCATGTCGCTGTGGATCTCAGTTTCGTGTCGGTCCTGCGGGCTGCTGCTTCGAGCGGATCCACGGCTCTGTCTTGGTGGCGATACTGTATACTTACTCTGGCACGTTGGTAACCGCTCCTTTAGATTCTGGGGACGATGCTCCGACGATTCATGATAAGCACGGAAATCGGCTGTCCCGGCTCAAGAAAACTTGGACCAAGTGATCAGGGATCGAAATTGCTTGTTCAAATCGACTCTTTAGCGACGATTTGGCATCTGTGAATCTAACGGTATCTATACTCCGTACACTCGGCTCCATCCTTCTCTTCTCAGATCTCCTATCTTCGGCAACTTCACACGACGATCGTCTTCATGTCGAGTTTGTGTCGGGTTATATTTGCCGGGGATTTCTACTTATGTCAAGGTGCGGTGGCTGTGGTAGATCTGGTCCGCTCTGCTTGCTCAAGGCGTCCTTCTCAATGACCGATGTCAAATTGAGTTTTCCGATGCCGTTATCCCTCAAGATTGCTGGACCGGGACGGGAGTCCAAGCTGCCCTGACAACCAAGTATCTCTATAACCTTCTCCTCTTTTATCTTCGTCGTCCTCTCGATTACTGGTACACTCTATTTCCGCGCACGGATGTGGCCCAGGCTCTTGTTTTAGAGTTAACTTTCCGGTCATCACTACCTCATGATCAAGGACAATAGTAAGCTATTTAATCGCTCGGCGCCGGCGTTCATCGCCCTCTGAAGCTTGCCTTGCTGCGGTCTCGCCTCTCGTGTTTTCCGGGCACCAAAACGCGATCCATGCGCGTTTGATTATGCGATTGGCCGTGTCACCCCAAATCACCCGGCTATCTCTTTTGCTTCGCATCGGTTGTCCTCGGAATAGTCTCGATGACGGTCTAGTCTGCATCCAGATTGGCTTACGCGTTATGCTTACAAGGGGTAGAGGCGAGCTTCCATCAATCAGTAGGACTGCAAGTTCACGCCGTTCTTTCTCCCTTGCTCGCCCAGCTCAGCCCTTCGTTTCGTGCAACTGTCTTTTCTCTATTGGATGCCCGAAATTCGAGTGACATCGCTTTGACACTCAGTAACGTCATCTTCCGCAGGGGATGTTCTTCCTCTTAGGATCACAGCCTCGTGTTTGCCTTGTGCATTCGGCGTTGGACAGTTCGCCACTGGTAGGTCTCTATCATCTTAGCTTTCGGATTCCAGAATCATTCGCCGCTCTTGTATACACTCAGGGTTCTCGTAAGGAGCGGTGTTGCCGGGATTTCATGACGCCTTTGTCTTTGGGCCTTGATCCGATCGGAGAATAATTGGCTCGCGGGAAACTCGTTTCACATTCACGACCCAACCAGCTTGCAGATGGAGCACACACCACGCCGGAGGATGTCTGTGCGTGCATGGCTGCAGTGCCCACGGATCTCTACTTAATTGCCCCAAGCACTCAATGGTTTCGCGACGTCTTCTACTACGTGGCGTTTTGTGACACAAAGGAACGAAGGAATTCTCTCCAACGAACGTAACAGCGGGTAGTGTGAGAGCATCAACTAAAATAAAATCCGAGCGTCCGTGGCATAACGTGAGGAGCGCCGTTACTCTGCTTGTTGCGTCTCCTTCCTCCCACCCAACGCCTCACCCGCTTTTCTACCCTCTTCCCCGTAATTTGGGAATTTCAGCATATAATAATTCCAAATGTCAGCACCACCATCTTGTGATCTTCCTCCGTTTCCGATACGCAACTGACTTTGTTGCAGGCCCGAAGATTTTCCTAGAGTGCACGACTCCCCGAGTACCAGCGACTCACGGACTCTCTCAAAAGATAATCGCTTTTCATATGCAGGTCAAGACGACGCGAACGCTACACTAGATGTAACCACATTCGGCGCCGACGGCTTCACGGACTTCAAGTTGGACTTGTCCTGCCTCTCCAGTACGCCCTCACCTCCACCTTCGCCCTCTCCGTTCTCGTCCGACTTCCCTTTCTCGTCGTACCTCCCTTCGAGTCCCCCGGCTTCAACGCGCCGTTCCGTATCCTTCTCCACTGGCCCATCCCCAAGTCTCGGACGCGCCCCGTCAGAACAGAGACCAAGCACGTCCCCGCGTATATCGTTCACCAGCCAGCCAGCAGGCTCGTGGCCCCTCGCGCGCTACGTGGGGCGCGGGACGCCCATCGACCGCAGCCGAAGGTCAGAGTGGGGCGGAGAGGCCACAGAAGACGGGGTGTTAAACGACGAAGGCGTTCTCTTCTCCACCGTCCGCTCTACTTCGGTCGACTCCGCGCCCCGCCCGTCCTCATCGCAGCGCTCCATATCGCCGCTGGCCGAGTGGAACTATATCTCGCCCCCGCTGGTTACAGTTTACTCTCCGCGCCCCCGGTCGGCCGTGAGCCTCGAGCCTCTGCCGGAGGCGTTGCAGATACACCTGGATGGGGTGTCCCCGAACTCTTCTGCAGAGTGGGCGTCGTCGATGCAGGAGGTCTTGGCGTCGCCCATCTCCGCCAGCGCCGCGTCCACGTCTACTTCCGAGACGCGCTTCGAAAGTGCGGAGGAGCTGCCTGACCCCGAACCAGAGGTAGAGGAGCAAGCAGTGGAAGGAGCGCAAGTGGACGTCGAACCGGAAGCGGAAGGTGAAGAAGAGGATCTGGGGCTGTCTTCGCTGAGCGCCGCGGTAGATCAGGGGCTGGGCCTGGGCCTCATCCCGGGCGGGATGACATGGTTCGACGTGGGTATCCTCCCTGCCGTCGCGTCGCGAAGCTCGGTGTCGGTATATTCGTGCGATGAACATACTGCAACGCCCCACGTGGGCTCGCGACCACACTCGGTGGCTCCATCGGAGGGGAAGACACCACTGCGAGAGAAAATCCGATCGCAGCTATGGTGGCGGAGATTTCTCAGTCGCCTGCGGCAGATTCGGCTTGCTGTTTCCCGAGGACGACAGTAGTTTTTACATCAGTTCGATGAGATTTTTTTCCCCGTAGTTTCTACTACGTTCTTAACACTCCTTGCCACTCTGAATCTTGATTTTTTCTATATAATTCCGTCTGTGCAACTCACCAGCATATCATCACACTATCCCTGAGACTCACTTTCTTATACCCTTACTAATCACCGAGAGCGCGACTGTGCTTACACATCCCGACTCCCATGCTTGCCGAGCTCCGATGCTCGCTAAGCCGGATCAACCCACCAACGCTGATTCATGTGTTGTTCAACTTGTTAGTGTCTTGAGTCTCGTGATCTACCCAGGCAGCTGCTGCCCCAACCCGCCGCAAGTACAGTAACTCTGTACGAGTATTAGTTTCAATATTTTTGAATTGTCACTGGGCTGTGATTGGCTGAGAACCGAAATACTGGCTTCTGGTTGGCTGCTCCACTTTGCCTCCTGCTTCCCAATTTTAGTATTCCTTATTCAGTATAGCAGCATTTGAGCCACAGCATTAATGGGGTAGTGGTAACCTGGGTCGTTGCCAGTGGCACTCGTCATAGAGTTGTCGACCCGCCGGGGGTTCGATTCCCTCTTAATGCAATAATGGTGCAGTGTTTCTTTTTTCTTTTTTCTTTTCTTTCGTTCACCTTCTTCTTTGTGTTCTTTTTCTACGAGTCCATTTTCCTCGTACATGTGATTGATATTTTTCAACTTCGGCCTCGCTTCATAAGTATTTGCTGCTGGAAATCTTCAAGACATAACTGCATTACCGCGAGTGGTATATTGAATTTCTCGCACAGACGCTCGTCATAGACTACTCGCATTCATCTATTTCACATTTAATTATTACAGCCATGCCGTCACATAATTCCCATCGGCGAGCTTCTATCAGATAAGTGGAGCATAGTGCAGATCATAGTTTCGCGCCCGGATTCGTAGAATATTAATATGTATAGTAAGTAGATCTGCCGCGGAGGCGATGTTGGTACTCGTAAACGGGCACAGTACCTGCTGGGACAGCTGCTATGGAATTATGTATGCTGCTCTCTATCCATCCCCACTGTCCATCTAGTTTTGTCGAGGCTATCCCTGCCCTACACTCAAACCCACGAATCGACAGCGGCATGAAACTCGAACTTTCAACAGACTATTATTGCGCAAACAAGACAGCGAGAAGCACCGCACCGCCGAGCACCCTCGCGGGCATGTGGGCCGCAGCGCCAGCCGCCTTCGCGGACGTGGAGGCGGACGTAGACGCGGCGCCGCTCGCCCTCATTTTCGACGGTGTCGTCGCGCTCGCTTTCGGTGTCGTCCCACTCGCAGTACTCGCACTCGCACTATTCGCACTTGTATTTGGCGCAGGCGGCTGTGTGCTCGACGCCGGCGCCGCAGAAGTCTCCGCCGCAGCCCGGAGCGTCGCTTGGTACCTATTGTCTGCCGCCAGGCACTCATTGCTCGCTGGCTCGTACGCCGCGTCCGAGCTCGCAAACTACAGGAAGTCCTGGTTGTCCGCGTCCACGTTCGTGAGCCCCGACTGGTCCTCGCATATCTCGAGCACGTCCTGGGTCGCCTCACTGAGGTCGGGCCCCCACGTCTGCGCGTAGGTGGAGTACGCGGCGAGGACGGCGGTGTCGGTCGAGGTCGGGAAGGGGTCGGCGAGTGGGAGGGAGACGGTTAGGCTAGGTGAGGGATTGGTAGGGCTATCACTGCAGAGGGGGGAAGGAAGGTGTGTGGGGGAAACAGTATACCTGGGGTCGTCCGAGTCGGCGCACGGGGCGGGTGAGTGTGGGTGGACGCACTATATGACGCAGAGTGCGAGGAGGGAGAGAAGGTGCATGGTAATATTCATATGAGGGTCGTGAGGAAACGTGCCGCAGCTCAGTTGCCAGCGCGCCCAGAAGATTATTGCGATTTTTTTGTGCCAAGTGCACTCGGATCACCGCAATTACGACGATTGGATATTGAATTGTTGGTTCAAGCGACGTGTTTTGGAGGCTCGGGCAGGGTTCGGGCATGAGTAATTTGATGCGCCGTTACGACTCTGAGCCTCTGATCGACTATCCTTCGGCGGTGAGTTCTAGGCAGTACTAGTGCATGGGCGGGTCCAGACGCCTCTTCAATGTGTCCGCAGAGGTTTCTGTATGAGCTGGATGTTCGCTTGCAGTTTCAGAGGCAAGAATGGATGGAAATGAATATGCCCACTAACTTTAGGTAGTGGGTGCTGTGGCGCCCCAATGTTGCAGAGCGTCCGCCAAATTCTCATTTCTCACGTGACATCTGGTAAGGTCGTGAGTTCGACAAGTGTAGGACCCGTGCCTTCGGCACTAACACACACAGGCTTAATCTCAGTATCCCAGTTTTTGAATATTATACAGTGCAAGTCACCACTTCTCTGCACGTGTTTTCAACAGTCAAAGAAATTTTTGTATTTTTTTTTCCTGATTTTCTGAGCCACGAAACCGGCCAAAAGAATGCGATTGAGCACAAAAACTCGATTTTTCCCACGGTGTTTCACTTTTTTCGAGGTCCGAAAAAAATAAATTGTCTCCTGGTGGGTTTCCTGGCCATGATCAAGTTCAACACATCTAGAAGTGTCCTAGATGTGTTCACCCTTGCATTCGGAGATGCCCTTGGGTCCCTGTGAGCGAACCCTGGTCAGGCGATCGGCCGTCTCCGAAAATGCACGTGACCGCTAACCCTACCCGATATGGGAATCTGATGCCATCATTAGGGTTTGTTTCACTTTTCTGAGGGTGAAAAAGTCAAATCTTTATTGAGCAACTAACCAAGCACAAGCTGGGTTCTTTACTGTTACTTCAAGTGTTTCCAGGTGTTTTCAGACCAACCCAAGATGAGGGCATAATGTTATAGCGACTTCAAAGTTTTGACTTGTTTACTGCCAAAAGCGGAACCGTGATGTGATGACATGCACTGTAACTAAAAGATGTCTGCATTTCAGCTTTTAAATTTACAGCATTCAATATGTATGTAAGTAAATGCCTGTTATTCTGGTTAGAAAATTTGAGATTCAAAGTAAAACAACATACCAAACAATCAAAGAAGGACCTCAGGGTATACAATGTTCTTAGTCAGTGTGGTATTATGAGTACCTTTGAAGAGCACTTTGATCCGTTGACTGGAAGTAGAGCGGGAAAGAGCAACATAGAGCTGTCCATGGGCAAAGACATCTGTGCGAAGATCCAAGCCTACATGTTTCACTGACTGGCCTTGTGCTTTATTTATGGTCATGCAAAATGCAAGACAAACTGGAACCTGCCGGCATCTCATAGCAAATGGAATCTCCTCAGCAAAGGGAGTGATGGTGATGCGAGGAATAAATGCAGTCTTGCCATGATGTTCTCCACCAATGAGTCGAATCTCTATGACATGTGGGGATATTTTGGTGACTATGCCATGGGAGCCATTACAGAGACCATTGGCAGGATCCAAATTCCGAAGGACCATGATGGGGCATCCAACTTTCAACACCAATTTAGAGAGAGGTAGGCCAGATGCCTTGATTGAGTTGAGGTACTCAATAGGATATTCAAAGCCATTGTCAACTCCCTCTTCTGTGACCTGAGAATCTGCACTGTAAAGAACAACTGCCTCGCCAGGCATCTTGTCAAGCAGCATTTGATTGATCTCGTCCACATCATCATTGCGTGCAGACAAAATGGTGCGCTCTAGGAAATATTGGTCATGTTGTTGTTCTGCAGGGAGAGTGGAGATGCCAGGGTAGAGAGTGTTCAGAAGGCAGTGAACAGTGTTCTGTGGCAGTTTCATAGACTCAGGAAGCTTTATGTTTTGGGCAGGATCAATATTTCGACCATTCCCAACATCCAGGAGCCATTTAGCAAAATCCTTCTCTTCTTGTGGAGCATTTGGCCCACCAAGACACATATTTTGGGTCAAATGCAGCTGATGGACCTTTTGCCACAACAAAGAGCGCTGAAGACAGAGGCCAACAATCTGTTCTCATCCACCCTTCAGAACCACAGGCAGAACCTGCTTGAAATCTCCACCATATACCACAGTGGTACCTCCATAGGGACGGTTATCATTGCGGATGTCCTGCATTGTCTTGTCAACAGCTTCAGGTGCACGACGGTCCTGCATTGGAACTTCATCCCAGATGACCAAACCAACCTGCTGAAGAAGATCTGCAACCAAGGATTTTTTTTTGATATTGCAGAGAATGCCTTCCCAAAGCATAATGGGAATCTTGAATCTGGAGTGAGAAGTTCGACCTCCTAAGAGTAGCAGTGCAGCAATCCCAGAAGATGCCACACACAGAACAATAATGCCCTGACCCCTCAATGCATAACAGAGGGTGTTATAGACATATGTCTTTCCAGTCCCCCCAGCACCTTGCAAGAAAAAGAGCTTTGGGTCATTGTTGAGAACTGAGTCCATGATTGTGTCAAAAGCTGCTCGTTGTTCAGCATTGAGGCCATCAATGCAAGGTTGTGCTAGATTCTGCTGCTCCTGTATGTTATATGCAAGCTGCTCAGAAATGAGATGGTTCTGATCCATCTGATCCCAGTCTTCAACTGGCTGTGGCATAGGAGGGAAATTGGCCAGTTCTTTCCCAGATCCATGAAGAATCTGCTCCAGAAGATAAAGACCACAGTCATGGATCTGATGTGGGGATGGGTTGGGAAAGCCCTTATTGATGAGCTTGTGCTGAATGTCATCACAGATGTTCTCCTTGAAACGATCCCAAAGGGCTACAGGATCCTTCAGAGGCCAGTTCTCTTTGAGAATGGTGGCAAACAGCCGTCGAAGCTGGTGGCCAGTCTGCATAGCTGCAGCTTCTTCCAAGCACTGTTGCCACTCATTGTCATCCTGCAGTAGACCACGTGCTAGACATGCTGCCTGAAATGTTGGGTGCACCACACCCTCAACTGTGCGTAGATTCACAAATGATGTTGGACCTTTGACAACAGTCAGAAGAAGTCAAAGATAGAACCGTTCCCCAGCTGTAGGCCCAGCATAATACATGCGACCAATAGCAAAACCTCGCTGTCTGGGCTTCCACACCTGTTTTGTTTTTGTTGTTTGCCAGACAAAGTGCTGAGGGAATTCTTGGTACAGATGAGTACGTGCTCCAGGAAGGTTTTCAGCATTGGCTTTGAAAAAAGCAGTCAAGGTTGTGTCCTTGGTTGCCGCCCTTTCAAGAATTTCCTGGGGATCTGCATCCTCATCAAAGACCACACCTTGCTGATCGGGAAGGTGAATCTGCAGTCGAACCACAGTAGGTGTCTCTTCATGCATTTTATATCTCAGAAGTCGCCAGACAGCCTCAGGAGCAGAGATGTATCTGCTGTCCAGATGAAGCTGAATTTCATCTTGGTCATTTGCAACCTCCAGAGTGCCACGATCATGTCCCTTGTAGACATACTTGTTGATATATTTTGTAGCCTGCAGGACAATTCAAAGTCAACAGCGAGATTTTCAGTCTGGTAAAATTACATACCCTGATTGAAATGTAGCATTCTAGATTGATGTGGCATAGATATTCCAGGATTAACCGAGGAGAATGGGGCACAACCCATCGATTATCAATTTTTTGGCCTTTTGCATTGATGAAGTGACGG